GATTTCAAAATAGGAACCTTCCCCCAAGCCAGAGAGAGAGAGAGGAGATTTCAAAATAGGAAGGAACCTCCCCCAAACCAGAGAGAGAGAGAGAGATTTCAAAATAGGAACCTCCCCCCAAACCAGAGAGAGAGAGAGAGAGAGAGAGAGAGAGAGAGAGAGAGAGAGAAGAATATTATAAGGTAGTTCCCAAACGAGAGAGATGAGATTTCAAAACAGGCATCTCCCCCAAATGAGAGAGAGAGAGAGAGAGAGAGAGAGAGAGACACTGAGGTCACAATCCCTTATGAGGACATGCCCCCATTGACTTCAAGACCTTCCTCTAGACCCTGCCTCATAAAGGTCCACTCCATTACCAGGCCTGATGGCACATGCCTTTAATCCCAGCACTTGAGAGGCAGAGGCAGGAGGATCTCTGTAAGTTTGAGGCCAGCCTGGTCCACATAATGAGTTCCAGGCCAGCTGGGGCTAAAAAAAGATAATTAATATAAGCCAGGCATGGTGGCACACACCCACAACCCCAGCACTCCAGAGGCAGAGGTAGGCGGATCTCTGGGAGATCAACACCAGCATAATCTACAGAGGGAGTTCCAGGTCAGCTGGGGCTACAGGGAGACCCTGTTTCAAAAAAAAAAAAAAAAAAATAGAACATCGATATAGATCTATTGAAGTGAGCTCTACTGTGAAGATGGGCCACATTTTTCTTCTTTGTAAAAGGAACTATAGAAAACAGAATAAAGTCTGGTGTGGTGGGCACACACCTTTAATCCCCACAACGGAGAAGCAGAGGCAGGTGGATCTCTGTGTTTGAGGTCAGCCAGGTCTACATAGAGTGTTTGGGGGCTACATACATAGTAAAACCCTGTCTCAAAAAAAGCATAACATATATAAATATATAAAGAAAATGAAATAATCTTACTTTGGACTTCTGCTTAGGGGTTCATCTAGCTAGTTAAGACAGTTTACCTGGAAAAATTATTTCCTTTTTTAAGTTGCCTTTGTCAGATATTCGTTTGTAGCAATAAGACAAAGAACTAAGACAAGCTGCCACATGTTAAATTGATTTTTAAAAATCAATTAGTAGGGCCAGGCGTGGTGGTGCACACCTTTAATCCCAGCACTTGGGAGGCAGAGGCAGGCTGATCTCTGTGAGTTCAAGGCCAGCCTGGTCTACATAGTGAGTTCCAGGACAGCTGGGGCTACAGGGAGACCCTGTCTCAAAAAGACCCCCCCCAAAAAATTAATTAGTAAATAACTCAGACTTTACTGTCTACTGAAGCCTTGGGAAACATTCCAAAATAATTTATGACAATACTTAAAGTTTTTTTTCTATTAAATTAATTCTTTTGTGTGTGTATGTTTTGCCTGCATGTTTTAAATGCACCATGTGCCTGCAATGCATGTAGAGGCCAGAAGAAGCCTGGAGCTCAGCTGGAACTACTGATTGTTGTGAACTGAACCAGGGTCCTCTACAAGAGTAGTCAGGGCGCTTAACCGCTGAGCCATCTCTCCAGCCCCAAGATTAGGAGAAGTGATGATATGAATTAAACTTATATTAATCCATTTTAAATTAGATATAAGATGCTCAGCAATGTTTATAACTAATATTGTTTCTGTTCAGTATCTGAAGTATGAAGACTTACTAAAGAATTGGTTGTTATTCAAAAGGAAACTAATAAATGTTTAAGTAAAATCTTGCTGGTGTCGTGGCACACACCTTTAGTCACAGTACTCAGGAGGCAGAAGCAGGCAGATCTCCTGAGTTCAAGGCCAGCCTGGTCTATATAGTGAGCTCCAGGTAGCTGGGCTACAGGGAGACCCTGTCTCAAAAAAAAAAAAAAAAAAAAAAACAAACAAAACAAAAAAAGAGAAAATTTTCATTTAGATATAAATTATGAATGTGGTCACCATTGTTTTGTTCCATATACATGTACAAATCTGCATTCTTTCCTAATTTTTTTTTCTGATCTGTTTTTATAGATGCTTTTCATATTGTTCAGGGTCCTAGGAATTCCCCAAATTGACCACTCAGACCCTGAGTCTCAGCAAAAAGAAGTGCCAACTGGCAGGGGACACAGTCTCGGGAGCTGTACTGTGACCCCGAGCAGTGAAAACACAGGACTTTTAAGCAGAAAAACCACAAAACCACAAGGCAGGGGATGTCCATAGAAACTATACACAGAATAACCAGGAAAGGATTGGAACAATCTAGGGCTGATTTCCAGAGACTTTACCTATACAACCATTGGCTGTTTTACCTGGGGCAGAACGCTTGTTCTCTTCTGCCCTGGATTATTTCCATAGAGACCATTCACAGATGGATCAAGTATACTGTCATTGGCTAGCTTACCTGGGGCAGAACGTTCTATCTCTTCTACCCCAGACCATTTCCATAAAAATCATAAACAGATACCAGGAAAGGGTTTGAACAATGAAGGGGATTTCCAGAGTCAGGTGGAGGGCAGCTTTTTCTCAGAGGCCAGGGAGAGGGTCTGAGGGGCACTCTCTTTCAATATAACATCTGTTTCTAACTAATTCTAACTGTTCAAGAGAGCTAAGCTTCCATATCAGCAAAGTTTGCCTGCCTATATCCATTCAGATAAAATAGAAATATAGTGCCCCCCACACCCATTTCTGCATTACTCTGGAGTAATAGTAATGACTTAGTCTCTAAAAATATTAGGCATCAACATTTACCATTAGTTGGAAATGGTTCTTTCTGCCAGCAGTGAGCTATCTGCCATCCCTGTCATACAACTATGTCATATCTGTCATACAACTATGTCATATCTGTCATACAGCTATGTTTAAGCCCATCTGAAAGAATAAAATCAGAAGCTGGGAAGATGGTTCAGGGGTTAAGAGCACTTGCTGCACTTCCAGAGACCAGAGTTTGGTTCCCAGCATCAAGAAAGGCAGCTCACGACCACCTGTAACTCCAGCTCTAACACACTTTTCTGATCCATAAGCACCCACATGCACATATTCTCTCTCTCTCTCTCTCCCCAATAAAATCTTTTAAAGAATAAAATCAACTCATTTTTCTTTAAGATGAAGTCATTAACCAATGGACCCGCAATTCCCTTAAGATTCCAGTCTTTTAAAACAATTTTATTATTATTATTTTAATTTTTGTGTCTGAGTTGTTTGCCTGCTTGTATGTAAGAGCACCCATGTCATGCAATGTCCGCAGAGGTCAGAAGAGGGTGTTAGATTCCCCTGGATGGTTGTTAGCCACCATTTGAGTGCTGGGAATCGAACCTACCTGGGCCCCCTGGAAGAACAGTAACTGTTCCTAACCACTGAGCAATCCCCCCAGCTCAGATTCAAGTTTCTTACTAGACCAATGGAGAGTCATTGCAACATATATATATATATAAATTTTTTTTTGTCTGAGACAGGGTCTCCCTGTAGCCCTAGCTGTCCTGGAACTATGTAGACCAGGCTGGCCTTGAACTCACAGAGATCCTCCTGCCTCTGCCTCCCAAGTGCTAGGACTAAAGGCGTGTGCCACCATGTCCAATTTTTTTTTTTTTTTTTGGCTTTTTGAGACAGGGTCTCCCTGTAGCCTCAGCTGGTCCAGAACTCCCTACATAGGCCAGGATGCCTCAAACTCAGAGATATGCTTGCCTCTGCCTCCAAAGTGCTGGGATTAAAGGTGTGAGCCATCATGACATGCTTAATTCTAACTTCTTTAGTGAAACTCTATTAAGGACTCTTACTAGGAACTTTCTTATTGTGAAGCAAACTATTTCACACTAATTACTTTTTTCAACAAATAAAATGCAACAAGCCTCTCAGCTCTATGATGATTGTGTGCTATTTTTACATACTTGCTATAGCATAAGGTTTCTCTTTCAGGAAAATAATTATGCCACATAGATTAAGGCTTTCTCAGATGAATGGTAAACACGGGGGGGGGTGGTGTAAGTTGGTATTCTAATCCCATGAGGCAAAAATCTAATTTGAATTAATGTAGAAAAAAAGGAAATTTATTTCATTATAAAAATGAAAAAGTAAAGAATAGCAGTGTCACCATCATGCATGAATGGATCGAGATCAAACAGTGCCATCAGATTTCGGTCTCCACCTTCCTCTCCGTTAGACTTCTCGCTGGGGAAGGCTTTCTGTGTGTGGTGGCGAAGAGACTGCTGGTGAGCTTTTTAAACCCCAATGAATCCTCAAAACTTACAACTGCAAAGTTTTTTGTTTTTGTTTTTTTAAAGATATTCTGTCTTACTACCCGTAACAATATCCCTAAAGGCTCTAATGGTACAGACAGGGTCATGTGCCAATCTCTTACTGATCACTAGGTTGAGAGAAAATAATTTGGGAAGCCAGTGACAAATCTATTATCAGTTTCATTAGAAGTGTAGACCTTGAAGGTGAAGTGGGGTATAAAACAAATAAAAAACTCACAGATGTCTACTATTCAGTCCATTTCAAATGTATGATCATGAACTGAAGACTCTTCTATATGTACTACATTTATAGAATTACTATCCAAATAGGATTTGCCAATTCTCAATTCTGAATAGAATTTTGCCAATTATCACTGTTCAAGAATGAACAGTAATCAAATACTATAGTTGTTATAATCAGAAGGCTTCTCTATTATGGATTCTGTGATGTCGTCTAAGGGCAGAGGAACAGCTAAAATTATTCCCACAATCTTTACATTTATAAATTTTCTCTCCAGCATGAATTCTCTGGTGCAGCCTAAGGGACAAGATCTGATGGAAGGCCTTCCCACATTCATTACATTCATAAGGTTTCTCTCCTGTATGAATTCTTTGATGCTGGTTAAGGTATGAACCACAACTGAAGGCCTTCCCACATTTGCTACATTCATAAGGTTTCTCTCCTGCATGACTTCTTTTATGATGAATCAGAACTAAAGCATCACTGAAGGCTTTCCCACATTTACTGCATTCAAATGGTCTCTCACCAGTATGAATTCGATGATGTCGATTAAGTTGTGAGTCAGTCCTAAAAAACTTCCCACATTTGATGCACTCATAGGGCTTTTCACCAGTATGAATTCTCTGATGCTGATTAAGGTGTGAGCGATAGCCAAAGGTCTTCCCACATTCATTACACTTGAAAGGTTTTTCTCCTGTGTGAATTCTTTGATGAAGAGTAAGGGCGATGCGTCTGCTGAAGGCCTTTCCACACTGATTACATTCATAGGGTTTTTCTCCTGTGTGAATCCTCTGGTGTTGATTAAGGTGTGCACTCTGTCGGAAGGCTTTGTTACAGTCCTTACATTCATAGGGTTTCTCTCCTGTGTGAATTCTTTGATGTTCAATGAGAAAGGCATAACGGCTGAAGGCCTTCCCACATTCATCGCATACAAAAGGTTTCTCTCCAGTATGGATTCTTTGATGTTGAGCAAGGTGTGCACTCTGTCTGAAGGCTTTGTTACAGTCTTTACATTCATATGGTTTCTCTCCAATATGAGTCCTCTGATGTTCACTGAGAAAGCAGTCACGGCTAAAGGCTTTTCCACAGTCGTTGCATGCATATGGTTTCTCTCCACTGTGAATTCTCTGGGTTTCAGTAAAGAATGAGTAACAGCTAAAGGTATCGCCATACTCATCATATTCATGAGGTAAGTTTCCAAAATGAGTGGTCGGATGTTGAGTAAGTAACGAATGCAAGGTTAAGAGATTTGAAAAATCACTATTTTCATAAGGTTTCTCAGCAGAAGGAATTCTTACATCTCGACTAAAGTGTGTACTATGGTTGAATTCTTCACATTCATTATCTATCAAAGAGTCCTTTTCAGCATAGAGTCTTTTATATTCAATTATGAGTGAATTTTTGGGGAAGATTTTATCATAAATATCAAGTTTATATGTTTGCTTTGCTAAGGAAACTCTCTCTTGTGTTAAAAGTGCTGACTTTGTGGGAATGCTTTTCCCAGGGTTACATTCATTGTCTCTTTTACCAGAAGAGATGTCCTTAAAAGTTGTCACTTGCCTGAAATGTTTCTCCTCACTTCCCTGATGCTCCTCAAGCTCACTCTTGTATTTCCTGGCTTCTCTGAAACTGGACAATTCAAGGCCATGACTGTGGGGCCTTTCTAGTCCCATCTTCTGACACACTGCTTCATCATCAAGGAATGATTTTGGAGACAAACCCTTGATTTCACACCAACACTCCCAGTCTGAAAAATACCAAGAGAGCAAGTGTCTGTATATGCAGGTTCTGTATCCATGACTTCAACCAACCACAGACTGAAAAGACTAGATAAAAAGTTTCTCCCCATTATTCCTAAAACAGCATTGTCTAACAATTATTTACATAGCATTTACATTGTTTTAGGGTTGATAACCTAGAGATGATTTAAAGGCTACAGCAGGATGTGTGCAGGAAATATGAAAATACTAAGCTATTGCATATAAAGGACTTTAGCATCTGTAGATTTTGATATCTCAGGGAGTCCTGGACCCAAAATTCCACATGAACTAAGGGACAGTTGCTTGATAAAGTAAATCACTGTTCTATTACTGGCACGAAACTCAGAAGATTCTATTGAGAAAGGCCTGTGAACTATGGGGAAATTTCAAAAAGAGGGTGACGCAGAATATAGTCCAAAAAATAACTTGACCAATGACACAGACTTACAGACAGAAATCCCGTTTTTAAAAGATGCAAGCGTTATGCTATCCAGCCTCAGTGGTTAAGAGCACTGGCTGCTCTTGCAGAGGACCTCAATTTGGTTCCAAGCATCCACATGGCAGCTAACAACCTCCAGTTCCAGGGGATCCAATTCTCTCATGACCTCCTTGGGCACTGCATGGCATGGGTGCACTCACATACATGCAGGCAATACACTCATA